GAGGCCTCTCTCCCGGGCGTGTAGACAGCTGTCTTCTCCCTGTGTCCTCACATGGTCGTCCCTCTGTGCGTGTCTGTGTCCTGATCTCCTCTGTCTTATAAGGACACCAGTCACACTGGATTGGGGCCCAACCTAGTGACCTCATTTACCCTCATCACGTCTGTAAAGACCCCAGCTCCAGTCACATGCAGAGGTCCTGGGGTTAGGACTTGGACGTATGAATGTTGAGGGAGACACAATTCAGCCCACACGAATGACTAAACCGGCCGCCATGCCACCCGCTGTCACACCGTACATTCTGTGTTTTGCGTAGTTTGGTGTAGCACTTACTACCCTCCAAACCATCTCACTTATGCACTTTCTTGTTTCTTTTCTGTTGAGCCCACCCCAGGGGCCCCATAAGCCTCCTAGAGCCGGGGACCTTGCCTGGCTCACAGAGTAATCAGCACCTACGATAGTACTGGCCAAAGAGTTAGAACTCAAAGAGCTCCATTGGGCTAAGTAATGAACAAGCGAGTGAATGAGGGGGGACTCGGGGACTGCCTCTCTGGCCCCCAGCCCTGCAGAGGCCTGGCCTCCCTGGCCCCTAACTCCCCCGGCCCTGACCCTGGGAACAAACCCTTCAACAATGACTGGTCTCCCTGAGCTTCAGACGCCCTCCTCTCCGTCCGCCTCTGAGTGCAGGGCCACGTGTGTACTTTGCTTCTCTGGCCCGAGCCCTGGACTCTGGTCAGTGCAGAGGGCAGCCCAGCAGGGCCATTCCTCGTGTAATTAGCTGAACCTCCAGCCTCAGATCCAGCTCTGCCCCGGATTACTGCATCCTCCCTCCACCTGCCTTCTCTTGCTGAGAGATGTCAACAAGCTCCCACTTGGGTCCTGACAGACGGGCACTTTGTGCCTGGACTAATGGGCGATTAAGCTAAACTTAGCAGAACACGAAGAGACCCTGAGATAACCTCAGAGACTGGGGAGAGTCCTACCGGAGGGGCCGGGAGTGGCTGAAAACCAATTAATAGATAAGCATCCCCCCTCCTCCTCCTCTCTGAGCACCCATTTGTCACAAGTGCAATCAGAGCCGCTGTCCTCTCAGGCAAAGAAAACTCCTTCTGGTCAAGGGCTGAGACGCAGTGAGCTGGGAGCTAATAGAAGTCCACGCGCGCTCAGACACACACATGTGCCATCAACACAATCACCTCTACCAGCCCTGTCACCATCAGTGCCCTACCATGCCTACCATGCCTGCCAACGGCAACACCACCACCACCATCACCGGCACCGTCACCTCAGCATCACCAAGAACACTGTCGCCATATCACTACCTTCAACGTGACCACAACCGTCATCAGAAACCTCAGGACCACACTACATCCCCAGGACCCAACACAGTTTCTGGCGTACATCAGGTCTGAACAAAAGTTGAGTACAAGAAAAGGGGGCACCCAGCTGATAAGGACAGGAGGCCAGGCGCAGGCTCCTCACCCGGCCTGCTGCTCCAGCCGCCATGACTCAGGCCCTGGGAAGCTGAGGTCCACCCAGCCCTCTCCTCACCCCAACCTTTCTCCCTCGGATGCCACATCCAACCGCATGGGCCTTCCAGCTCCTGGAAAGAGCAATGCTCCCCAGCCTCTGAGCCCCTACAGGGCCCTTTCATCACCCCCCACTCCCTCCCCGAAGGGTGCTTCTTCAGGCAGCCCTCACCAACACTCAGACGAGCTGAGCTCTGCTCTGTGCATGTTATACGTGTTAGGTCCTTGCTCGTTAATAAAGACCTAAGAGACAGAGATTTCGTTCTGAAGGCTTTATTGAGCCAGGCCTGGCGTCCATCTCACTCTGCAAGAGGAGAATGGCCCCGGGCCTTGGCCGGTGAGAGTTTATATATGCTTTAGCTTAAGCAGAAGCAGGTTTACAGAAGCAAGAATAAACCATTATTGCAAACAGGTTTACAGAAGCGAGAACAAACCGCCACCGCAAAACAAGCAGTCATCGTTGGCACCTGACCGCATCCATTGCAGGTGTTGCTTGGCCGGAGCATGACTCCCTCCCTGAAACAGGCCCTGAGCAGAAACTTTCCGTAATGGGGATAGGAAACCCCTGGTCTGGTCCCAGGGACAAAGCGGGTCCTGAATAGTTTCCTGGAACCTTATTCATCTAATTTGGTTCTTGCAACAGTATCCCTGAGGACAGGTCCTTACGATACGCACCCTTCAAAGGGCTGGCGAATGTTTGTTGAGTGACTGAGAGTAGCGTCTTTTTCTGTACAATTGTGTATCTCTCCACCTCAAAAACAAGGTAGCTGGGGCTTCATTTTTATTTTGGGCAAACAAAAGTGGGAGTCAACACCTGTGAGTGGAGCAGGCCAGCCATGAGGAACAGCTTGGGCCAATGCGACTGGGTATCGCTAGGATCAAGCAGCTGAGGCCTGAGCCCCAGGGGGGTCCATTTCCCTGGGCATTCTCTTCTCCCCCGAGCCCAGCCCGCCATCTCGGAGACAAACCCGGGAAGAGGTGCTTTCAGCTCATCTTTCTCTGGTGGCCTTGGGAGAGGGAGCGACCACAGAACCACAGGCAGCAGGGTCCACACAGCCTTCTCCCCACGTCACAGCTGTCAGCACTGCCGGGCGGCTCTGCAGCCCCAGGGTTCTCTCTCTGGTCACCTGGAGGGGGTGCGATAAACACCGGCGCCACTGTCACCATCCCAGTCGTGAAGGGCCCTCCTGTTTTTCTCAACGTGATGGATGCCTTCAGAAATGCCCACGTTATTATCATCTGTAAGCGACATCCACCAACTCGGAGCGCCACCGCCCCTTGGAGCCTAATCTGAACTGACAGCTTCTCTGGAAAGAATGCCCAAGTCATCCATCCAGAGTTTCCATGAAGTATGTTTCAATGAGATACCCGCTGAGCCGACAGGGACTCGACGCTCTCCCTGTGGTGAGCGGACCGAGCGCCAAGCTGGGAAGAGGCGCCCGGGCGCGGCTCCCGCTCGCCGTGTGACCTTGGACAAGCCATTTAAACCTGTGCTGGTTTTGTCTCCTCGCCTGTAAAAAGAGAATAATGATTGGTGCTGAAGCCAGGACGCAGGGCGCTGTGAGTCAGGCCACCCAGGGAAGGTGTTCTCGACACTGTAGAGAGCTAGCCTGCACTGCACCTGACCTAGATACAGGCAGACACCGACACCAGTGACACTGACACCAGCACCCTAACAACCGCACGCTGACAACGCCCCTGGTGACAGCAGACACCACCGCCACCCATCATTTACTTACCAGGGTTTGCTTTGTAGTAAGGGCTGCACTACGTGCTTTCAATACATTCCTCTTTGCCCTCAGAATAATCCTAAGCGGTGGGTCTGTCATTGTCCCTACTTTATAAATGAGAAACCTGAGGCACAGAGAGGTTCGTAGCATGGCCAAGGTCACACAGCGGAGAATTATAGGAGCCCAATCACGTGCAGGCCGTCTCTGTCTGGGGCTGGCTCTGTGCCCTGATAGCCCAAGAGACACAAAGCGTGGCCTCTGCCCTTTAAATGCATAAAAACAAGAGGTGGGTAGAGACACTCCCTAAGGAAGTCACGGCAGGCTGCCTGGCGGAGGTGTCATCTCCACTGTGACTGAAGGAGAGCTGGCGTCCTTGGTGGGAGGCAGGGAGGTTTCACGCAAAGAGGACAGAATGAGTGACGGCCAAGAGGCTGGCGTTCCCATGAAGCAATTTCCATCCTCTCCTCCCATCTTCTCTCTTCATCGTCGCTGGTGTCATCTTCACCAGCACAAGCACCACCCCCTCAGGCCCCCACGTGAGCAGGCCAGTTAGAAGGTGTGCGTTTGACATCTTTCAATGAAAATTTATCCTTCCTGCAGGGAAAGGGCCTTAACACCCATCGTTAAGTAAAATTGAACCATCAATCAGCACTATAAAATATTAGGTAAAATTATCTTTAAAAAAAAATTCAGAACAGGTTTCATTTTCCCCAAATCGCAAGAGAAATGGACATTCCATGAGTGGAGTGGGCTCCTTCAGACCTGGTCTAAGGGGACCAGAGGCTCCTAAACCCCAAAGCCCGGCCACCCGCTCAGGACAAGAAGCGTGCCTGTTGGGGCAGAAAACGGGGCGACTGCTCCTGGCATCACGGCTCTCCCACGGACCAGATCAAGCGACCTCCCTTCTCCCACGTAAGCCTCACAAGGTGCTGAAGAAACACCTGGAAAGAGGGATCGGAAGGCCGTCAGACTCCATCATGCGTCACCTGGGCAACACCAGGAAAGTCAGCCATCGCGTCTCACTTCCTCCGTGAGCGACTTGCTCGTCAGATGGGCGCTCTGCGTGCTCCTCGGGGCTCGTCAGGCCTGCGTCCTGCCTGCAGGGCCGGTGAGTCAGACCCTCAGACCTCACTGGCTCTTAGTGACGGGAGTTTGCTCCAAGCGCACGTCTGCAGGTCTCGCCTGGGCTCTGTGGCCACCACTGGGCTTGCTGCCGTCCTTTGGGGAACGGACATCAGATGGGCAGAAGGAAAGGCTCGGACAGTGCCTCAGGAGACCCCACTCAGAGGTGGCCCAGCGTTAGTTCCGCCCCGTCCTAGGCCTGGCCATGATCCAGGAGAAGGCCCAGCGCCAGTGGGTGGGGCCATGCACCCCATCTTCAGCAGAGGGTGCAAGTTCTCAAGTGCAACCTGGGGAGGGGACAGGACACGATCCCATCTGCGCCCAGGGGAGCCCCACTAACACGGAAACCACCAGACTGTGACAGGCGCTGAGACAGGGGCCGGGCCAAGGGAGCTGGGCTCAATCTGTAAAGCAAGGGCTTGTGTCCTCCTCATCCCACCCCTCAGGTAAGCGCTGGCCCCCAAACCTGTGCGTCACGCGGCACCAATATCATCTACACGGCCTCTTTAAATACTAATCAGACCGAGAGGAAAGGGCAGCTGCTCTGTGCTCAGGCTGGGCCAAGGGCATTCTGAGTGTTGTCTTGTTACAGCCACACGACTGTGGTCTCATGCCTTCCCCATTTGGTGGCTTGGACAACTGAGATCGCAGAAGATGATGTGTCACAGAGCTGAGAGGAGCAAAGCAGGGTCCGGGCTTCGACCTGCAGGCGCCAGGCCTGTGCGGAGCATAGCGGGTGCTGGGGTCCTGGGAGTCGGCGCCCCGTGGGTGCGATGGCCCATTTCACAGACGGAAGCCTGAGGCCAATCAGGGCAGGGACTTGCCAGGGTCTCAGCCAGCTCCACAAAGGGCAGGCTGCCCTGACTCTTCAGAACTCAGAATCCCCTTCTGGTCAGTTCGGGTTCCTCCGTGATCCCTTCCCGGCTGACTTACAGCTAACCTGGCCACGTGGCACGTCCTCACCTGAGCTGGAAGGAGGCCGGAGTGGGAGGCACCAACCGTGCCTTCAGAAGAGGTCAAAACAAACACACAATCGCTTGACTTCCTGCAAAATGAAATTGAGTTTTATATGTCAGCATTTGGCCAGGAACAGAAAACAAATGCCGTTGAAGGCCAAGTTGTCATGTCCACGTCGCGATCATTTACTGGAGCTGAGAGGCAGCAGTTCACAGAGTGAAATAAGGAACGCACGGGGTCACATGGCGTCTGACGGTGACAAAATGGATGCTTGCACTTGACAAGGCGGTCTGGACAGCACAACCATTGTTTCTCATAGCAAAAAAATGAACCCTCCGAGCACAGCTAAATACCACCTTGTGGGTTCTTTGCAGCAAATCTTGACAGGCTGCCTCCTGCGGTGCGGTCCGTGGCTGGGTCCCTCCTCCCCTGGGGGCTCTCCCGACGTGCCTGTTGAGGAATTCGCAAGTAGGGTTACATTTTGGGGAGGGGCCGCAGGAGCAGCAGAGGACAGCAGCCTGTGTGGCGAAACTCCATGACCCCTGCGCTGCCGGGACCTGAAGTGGGGGCCCTGCCACGGGGCGGGGCTTGCTCCGTGCCCTCACCTGTCAGTCAAGGCTCTGGCTGTGCCTTCTCCCGGGGGCCCTCCCGGGGCTCTGGGCTTCAGGGGATGAACCCGATCCTTTGTGCGCTAAGTTGATGGCAAGTCATTTTTCTGTCTCCCTGGAGAAATTAAAGGTATGAAGCTCATGGCTGTAACGGCCCCACCTCCCAGTCAATGGGCCCAACAGAAGAATATTAGGAAAAAAGACCTAAAAGGGAGGTTTGGGGTAAGCGAGGCAGAATTACCTTCCCAGTTCTGTCACATACTGGCATTGCGACCTCAAGGGAGCCCAGGCCCTGAAGAAACGCAGGGACCTTCCCAGGTGTCCTGGGCACCGTTGCCAGAGCGGGGACACGTCCCCAGGCCTCTGCCTCTTTCCTCTGTCCTCCCTTTGGCCATCAGGGAATGAAATCACTACCCTACTGGGAACTGGAAGACGGGAATGAAGCCTTTGGAGAAGCACCTAGTGTTTATTCTACTTCTGGGTGCCATTGTTAAGAAAATCATATATTTCTCATAGAGTTTACTTTTTAGAGCAGTTTTAGGCTTACGGGACAACTGTGCAAAGCACAAAATTGTGGAAGGTATTTAACAGATGGATGGGCAGCAGCGAGAAAACAACATGCATTTTCATTGAGACCCCACCTCCACCCACGGGCTCAAGGAGTGTCTACAGGGTTTGAGGGGGGAGCTGCGACGGATCAGCGTTTACTGCAAGTCTCCTTCTGGGACAGTTAGATCCCCAGGTCCCCTTCCAGTTCTGAGAAGCTAGGTGATTGTCCCTCTGTCCGTCGACGGAAGAACGGACCAGGTCTGTCCTGGGGACGCCAGGCACGGCTGGGATCCGAGCCCGGGCAGGCGTCTTCCTGAGACTGAGGGCTTGAGCAGAAGTGTGCACACAGCCCCTGACCAGCAATCCAGGCGGGCATTGGCAGTCTTCCCGGGAGTCTGACCAGTCTACAGGGATTGAGAGACATGACCTCCAGGTCCCCCAAGGAATGGCCCGACTGGGCCCCCCCACACCCACACACAAAGCCCACAGAAAGCCACCCTCACACCAGACACAGCCCCCATCTGGGCTCTGGGTGTCTCTCCCCTAGCACGACATCAACCCACGTCCCCACACATGGATGCAAGCGTCTACTATGGAAAACAGAGCACTGTGACTCCGTGATAAAAGCAACTTGGGAGAAACAGAGACAGTGCAGGTAGATGAACTCCCCGAAACAAGGATAAGTGTCCTTGGAGGCACAAATAAGACCGGACAAAGGTGCTGTGAGAGAAGCCGCTGAGGTGGGACAGATGCTCAGGAAGACAACACGACAGCAGCGATAGAAGCCACAAAGCAGAGACAGGCCATGCTGAGGAAATACCTTCGAGCGTAAAGAAAACATGTGAAGAAAATAAAAGGCCGATCCAACAGGGATAATATTTTAAGAACAGAAATCCCAGAAAGAGAGAACCAAGAAAGCAGAGGGTAGGAAACACCCAAGAAATAACTCAGTAAGCTCTCCTCAGACGGTAGGACACTGTGATGGTGTGCCCCAGCACCCCCAGGTGGACGCCCTGACCCCCGGGACCTCAGGACGGGACTGCATTTGGAGAAGGGCCTCTGAAGAGGTGATCAAGCTAATATGAGGCCATGGCAGGGGGCCCGAATCCACTATGACTGATGTCCGCATAAGAAGAGGGGGTTAGGACAGGCACACACAGAGGCGCGGCCCCAGACAGGGGAAGCCAGCCCCGCTTGGCCTTCATCTTGGACTTCCAGCCTGCAGAACTGTGGGAAATACGTTTTCTGTGGTTTAAGGTGCCCATGCTGTGGGTCTCCGTTGTGGCAGTCCCAGCAGACTAACACAGGCCTGGATTTCCAGATTCACTGGGTCCCCCTGTGAACTCAGCACCTTGGATTAAATTAACCCACAGCAAGGCTCGTGATTATGACGTCTCAGAAACAGAGACAAAGAAAAAGTCCAACCAGCTCCCAGAGAGGGGGAGAACCAAAAAAACAAACAAACACGCTTCTGACAAAGGATCCAGAATCGAAATGTCATGGTCTTCTCAACAGCCAGGCTGGGTGCCGGAGATGACACACAATGCCTACACACTCAAGGAACCAGGGTCCCCCCTCTGCCCATCCCGCCAAGTCATCGACTTCCTGGGAGACGATGATAAATGTTTATCCAGCAAAGGCGCAAAGGTACCTCCTACACACCCTTCCCGGAAGAATTAGCTCCACCTAAAGGACTTCCACTTATGTCAAAATGGAGAGAGAGCAACGCAGATGCCCCCACCCCCCATCCCCACCACTGGGCGAGGCTGACAGGACACGCTCAGAGGAGATACCGAAGGGCCAGGTGACAGCCATTCTTGCAGAGACACAAAATAATGAGGATGCCTACCGTGCTCAGACACCGATGTGTTTACACAGCCGGGGGAGAATTTGAGATGGAATTAGTGTTAAGTGTATAGAAATCTAAGCAAACGAAAAAAAATAAGGCCGTTTATTAGCTCCAGGGAAAACAGCGTGTTGGTGCAGGAGAAGGAAAAACCTGTTCGGGGCTCAGCTTTGAGGCGTGTTTACAGTATCGATCTGGCAGAAATGGCATTATTATCGTAGGGGCAGGCCAGGGCTGGCGGCAGGCGGGCACAGGGTCCTCACTCTCCCTGGAGGGAGTCAACGGATAAAACCCCAAACTGGAAAGCCAAGAGGCAGCCATTTAGAGATACAGAGGTAAATTGTCCCTGTGATCAGGAGAAGGGGACGAAAATGTGTGGATCTGGGGAGCCAGGAGTGTGGAATTGGTCCCTGGTGAACCTCACAGACCCCACCTGTTACACAGCTCCCAGGGTTCCCACCTGTATGTGTATAACTGCTAGTTCTCTCACACTAAGGCTTACAACAACTATCAATTCCCTTACCATTCTGGGGGTCAGAAATCTGAAATCAAGGTGTCCGCAGGGCTGTGCTTCCCAGGACCACAGCCTGACCTCACGCCACTAGGGTCCCCATCTCTGCCCCCACCTCTCTCTCTGTGTCAGGGTTGCTGGGTTAGCTTTAGGAGTTTTCCCATATCATTCCTGACTCAGAGACGACTTCACGTGCTGGTCACCAACTTGTGGTCAGCTAGTTGACCATGGAGGTTCCGGTCCTGCTTGTCCCTCCATGGACCCCCTACTTGGACCGCTGTCCATTGCTGCAGAACAAACTACCCAAATGTAGCCGCTTAAAACGACAGACACTCCTTGTTGCACCCCTGGTTCTGGTCCCCGCTTTCCTGAGGTTACAGTGCAGGTGTCATCTGCAGGCGGGATGGGGCTGGGACCTGCCTCTGAGCGGCCCAGACTCTGTAGGTCTGTCCTGCAGGAGACTAGCCCTTGCGACTCCCGCGGGCGGCAGCAGCGGCCCCCTTTTCAGCTGTTGAATCCTGAAGTCTCGTTGTCCTGATTTAAAACCAGCCTCTTCAACTGCTAACTGTTGAAAGGAATAAAATGAGACGGGGGAAGGAAAATCAATTTGCATGGGGAGATGACGAGTGCCATCGGGCCCACTGCCCTTTGCAGCGAAGACTGTGAGATCTTCAGAGCTGGCCCCACGCAGCTCAATTACAGTGTCCCCGAGGAGCCCGCCGTCCAACTCACGGACAGGGAGGGGCCTCTTCTCCCTCAGCCCTGCCGTCTGCCGCCTCCTGGAGGTGTGAGCGGAGTCCCTCCCTTGGCAGGGCGTCCTGGTCAGTGCCCACCCTCCTGGAAGCCCCTCGCTGGCAATGAGGTGGCCACGCTCGCCCTGACAGGACAGGGGAGACTCCCGGGTGGTTGACACCTGATGCCTCAGGATGGGACTGCTGCCTGTGGCCCCACACTCACCCCTGGTCCTGGGCCTGCACCTCTGCCCCTTCCCAGCAGTAGGTGGAAGAAATCCCCCTGGGAGGCCTCGGAAGACATGCCTGGCACCTGCCCACTGTCTTTACTCCCAGGTCATCCTGGAAGCAACCAGGTCCCTGCCTCCGAAAAGGCCTGGGGACCCTCAGGTCTAAGACAGGAGCAGGGTTGTCCCCCCCCCACCCTTTCCAGACCTCCCGTAGGACCCCTGAGCTGTGGGTCAGGTTCCCCAAGACCCCCCTCCTCCATGTCTCCATCCAAATGCCTCCTCTGCTGAGACGCCCTCTCCCCAGGGCAGCAGGGCCATCAGACACCCCATCAGTCCCTGGCACCCTGGGCCCAGTGCTTTATCTGTCCTAACTGTTTAATCCCCACCCCCAGGTGGTTACTTCCAGGGTCCCCACCACAGCGACGAGAAAAGGCAGACACCGGAACGTGAGGCCACTGGCCAAAGCCACGGAGCAGTCTGATCCAGGGCCCCAGAGACCAGCACGCACCTGCACGTTGTCCGGCCATCACGTTCGTGCTGGTCCAGGGGACTGACGTGGCCAGAGGCAGGGGCTGAGTCTGTCTTGCTTGGCATTGAGCTCTGTGCCTAGAACAGAGCCTGAAGCCTGCCTCACCTTGGATAAACGTGTGTAGGATGGGTGGATGATGATGGGTGGATGGATGGGAGGGTGGATGATGGATGGATGGATGGATGGATGGATGGATGGATGGATGGATGGATGGATGGATGGGTGGGTGGATGGATGGATGAGTGAATGGATGAACAAATGAAGACTTCCCAGTCCACCTCATCTGCCCAGCTATCCCTGCCTCTCAGCCTGTTTCCAATTCTCAGATGTCCACAAACACGAACCTGCTCCCCACTTCCAGCCCCATTCAGACCCACAGCCCACAGCAGCCGCAGCCTCTGGGGGAGGGGGTGCCGTGTCCCTTTGCTCCTCCCTCTGCTCAGCCTCCCAGAAGGGACCAGGCTCACTGAACAGGAGCTAACGTTTGGGTGCTCCCTCCATCTCCCAGGTTGGCTCTGGAAAGCCTCGGCCCCCTCCCATCCCGCCCGCCCCCTTCCCCTTATCTGCTGCTGTGCGAATCTGCAAGCCGGATTGCTGTGGGTGGCGGGGGGACGCGCTGGCTGGGCCTGGATTAATTCCCTGCTTTCACCACATCGGGAAGGTGATGCCCTTGAGTTGATGTCACAATTTTCTCTTTCCCCTAATTAAACAGAAAGCACGGCCAACGAGGGGGTGGGGTCCAGGGGGAGAAAATGAAGAATTAAAGGCATTTGCCTGCAGTCCAGCAGCTCCTGGCCTTCCATTTAGTATTTAAAAGCTTCCCCGTGTGTCTGCTGCACAGAGATAGGAGTGGCAAAGTAAATGGCAATTCCGCCCCTCCCGCCATCCCCCTCGCGTGTCGGGGGAGGAGGCAGCTCCAGGAAACAAGCAAGGAGGCTTCTCAAAGGCCTGAGAAGCCTGGAGCTGGGGGCCTGGAGAGAAAGGCGCTTGGCAAATGCACAACGAAACGCCTCCTCTTCTGTTGGCCTGTCCCCCTCGCGCAGGTGCTACCTGAAGGACAGCGTGAGGCTGGAGGCCTGGAGGGGTCCCTGGGCCTTGGGGACAGCGAGGCCCTTCCCGCCATACAGCCCCGGCCTGGGTGCCGCTGTGGGCCCGGTTCTGTATGCAGAGCCCCGTGAGAGGGGTCTCCTGGGCAGCATGAACTTGGCTTTGCAGAGGCTGCAACCCGGGTCTTCCTTTGGGGTCTCTTCCTACAGCCCGATGAGGTTATTACTGGCCTCCCATCCCCTGTTCCCCTCCCTGCTTGGGGCTGAGGGGATCATCAGGTCCCGAGGCCAGATGGGAACGCAGACATCACTCCGACTTCATTGGCCAGAAATGGCCACAGCTCCCTGCAAAGGACGGGAGGGGACTGAGTGTGGGGACAGCCCCGCCGCTGTGCTCACGAACCCCATTCTCACTCAAGTATTTGAACCCCTGCCCCAGGGAGCCCAGGAAAAGAAGGCCGGCAAGTGGGGACTCAGACCAGAGTTTTTCTCTATGAAGCCAAGCTGCCTGGTGTGGGTGACAAAGGCCTGGGGAGGTGGTCATGGGAGTAACCCTTGGGGACGAGCAGGTCTGATGAACCAAGTGTCCCACCTGCAGTTTTAGGCGTTTCCCGCAGTGGCTCTGGCTCTCTGGAGATGGCAGCCCCACGTACCCTGTGCTTTCCTGGCAGTTTATATTTCTCCTGTGCCACTGTCCTCTCATTTGTATTGATTGGGGCTTTATTGCAGCTCTGGACTGGGGCCTGGGTCAGATACTAAAATACATAATTCCACAGATAGACGGGCGGTTCCGAGCTGGTCGTGGGGTCGTCAGAAAGCCCGCTTCTCCACGTCTCTCATGCTCAGTAGCAGATAAGGGTCCACTGGGCCTCCTGCAGGAACAGGACAACTGGGGTCCCCTCTGACCACACCAAGCTGACCACTACTGCATGGGGGACTTGCTTCTGTGTGGGACGCTTGGCCCCCACATCCAGCTCTGAAGGGGCCTCCGTGTTGGAGCACTCTGGGGACCGTTTGGCCAGCAGTCTTGGCCCTTGTAGGGTGTCCCACTGCCCCTCTCTCTCTGTTCTCACACAGCAGAGACCGTGCCACTCAGAGGAGTCTATGCCTCTGAGAAATAAATCGGAACTCACAAGGCCTGCGACGCCGGGAATTACCAGGCCCCGCCCGGCTCTGGCCTCTGGCCCCTCCCCTCCCCCCTTGTAGCCTCACGGCCACCCACCGGCCTGCCTGTGTCCTTGGCTCACGTCCTCCCTCCACCAGAACACTGGACAGACAGGCTCCCTGTCATCACACTCCCCGACCTTGCCACATCCTGTCACGGAGTGACCCTCACCTGAAATGCAATTGTCACATTGTCAGCCTCCAAGTTGCTCGTCCTTGTCTCTAATGTAAGCTCTAGGGAGAGAGGGTTGGTGCAGGCCTGGACGGTCCATCAAGGCACCAGGGCAAACAAGCCTGGCTCAGGACACAGGGCTATTTAGGGATGGATGGATGGATGGATGGATGGATGGATGGATGGATGGATGGATAAATGAACCCTACTCTGCATAACCCACTCTTCCCAAACCTGGGCATCCTTCTCCTTAGAAATCCCCTTCACCGTGGGGCATTTGCGACAATGAAGAAAAGGACAAGGAATACAAGAACCCCCCGGGTGTTACCAGGAGAACAAAGTGGGGGTGGGGGGGCTGTGGACAGCCCTGGGATGGGGCAGGGGGCTCAGGTGAAGGCTGAGGGGTGTGCCTGGGGCTCTGCTGGCCGGGCTGAGATGGCTGTGCTTGCTGGAGCGGACGGAGCAGGGGCAGGCGGGGTACACGGAGGCTGCAGAGGCTGCAGAAGCAGGAAGGGGAGAACGTGCGTGAGCCTTTGCCTCACGCCAGACGCCATGCTGACAGCTTGTCCAACATTCTCGCAGGGCCAGCCCAGCGTGACTACCCTCACTCGGTGCAGGAGACGAGAGTCCTATTTGTGCCAGGTCACCACCCAGTCAGTGGCAAAGCCGGGACCAAGCCCAGGCCTCATGGCTTTCTTCTCTCGCCATGAGACGAGAGGGCGGGGGCTGGGGCTGGGATCTGCCTGGGTTCCTGGAAGCCCCAGCCCCCCACTCCCAGGCTGCCACCTGCCCCTGCTCCTCTCAGAGAAGATTCTGGGGCGCTTGCACAAGTGGGAGTCCCCTGGGGCCGGCTGTCCTGCTGCAGCCTGTGTGCTGGGCATGGCCAAGGCCCGGTAACTGTGGAAACACTGGCCTGTGCCCCGGGACATCCCAGGGGGGCACCGCGGAGCGGGGCCTGATGGCAGAGCTGCCCCAGTCGCAGCGTGCCAGCCAAATGCCAAACGCTTATTAATCTCACAGAACGAGGCTCTGAAGCCCCTGCCCTCGCGTCTCCCGTCTCCTTTGTCTAGGACATAATTGTCTGGGCCACCTCTCCAATTCTGTAATTAATTGCTTTGGGGAAGGCAGCTTGGCGGTTTAACTCCTTCCTTTCTGTGTCTCATCTCAAAATAAGGTGGCAGCTGCTGGCACAGCCTTTGCATGTACCCTGGCCTGGGGTCAGGACCTCGGGCTCGAGGCCCCGTCGCTGCCACTAGCTGTGAGTCTAAGCTTCCCCGTTTCTCAAATGCAGATCAAGCCTCGGCCCTCCCTTCTGGTTAAGTCATCTACTTCGTTCAATTCAACTCCACATTTCTCGACAAGGATTAGACACACTCAAGCGTGTCTATCACGCTAGTCAGCTTGTAGTAAGACCTGTTATGGAGAC